GTGGTGGTGGTGGTGATGGTGAAGGGTGGTGGTGGTGGTGATGGTGAAGGGTGGTGGTGATGGTGATGGTGAAGGGTGGTGGTGGTGGTGATGGTGAAGGGTGGTGGTGATGGTGATGGTGAAGGGTGGTGGTGATGGTGAAGGGTGGTGGTGATGGTGATGGTGAAGGGTGGTGGTGGTGGTGATGGTGAAGGGTGGTGGTGATGGTGATGGTGAAGGGTGGTGGTGGTGGTGATGGTGAAGGGTGGTGGTGGTGGTGAAGGGTGGTGGTGGTGGTGGTGGTGAAGGGGTGGACGTAGTGGTGGTGGTAGTGGTGGTGGTAAAGGGTGGTAATGGTGGTGGTGAAGGGTGGTAGTGGTGGTGGTAGTAGTGGTTGTTGTTGTTGTTTTAGATTCAGCTACTCAGAACAAAAAGTTCCAAGTAGCACGGGCTATGGTGATCCCGTAGTGGACTTACCTGGCACAGGAGCGGGGCTGTGTAGTAGTGGTAGTGATGGTGGTGGTGGTAAAGGTTGGTAGTGAAGGATGGGGGTGGTGAAGGGTGATGGTGGCGGTCTGGAAACCTGTCCTACAATGAACGTCGCTTTTCGCACGTATGAGTTACACAGGATAAAAATTTCTTTACTAGAAAAGGAAGCGGCTCGTGAATGTGACGTACTGTCCCGTTTTCTGTTGTGGGTCCTCTGGCTTAGTACTAACCTAGTTGTGCTTGCGGGGGTTGAGCTCTGGCTCTTTGGGTCCCGCCTCTTAGCTGTCACTCAATCAACTGTTGTTTGTTTTTCTGTTAGGTTAGGAGAGGACATTTTAAATTAAAAATTTTCACGACGTTTTGAAACCTTAGACGAACTTGCTCTCTCTCCCTACCCTGCCAGAGGACCCAAAACGTGCTCTTTTAGGTCCATTTAATTTGGAAAGGGATTTTCTATTTTCTAATACGGCAATTTTTGGCCGTAGCGCATATGTAAGGCTTACCATGAACTATAAGAAGGGTTAAAGCTCTCAGCCAGCTAACAGGAGTCAGCAGTCGTCTGCTCCTGTACCCTCCGGTGTACACAAAATAGGAGAGAGAGATTGGAAGAGGTAACAAGGATAGCGAGGAAAATAAAGTGGAAGAGACGATGGAGAGAGAGAGAAGCAGCCTCATTATTACTAACTGCGTGACTGTGTGAGTGTTGAGGACCTGTCTTGGCGTCTCCCACCTAATATGTCACGACTCCCACCAGTTGGTGCTGGTGCTGACCTATCCCAGCAGCTGGTGCTGACCTATCCCAGCAGCTGGGGCTGACCTATCCCAGCAGCTGGTGCTGACCTATCCCAGCAGCTGGTGCTGACCTATCCCAGCAGCTGGTGCTGACCTATCCCAGCAGCTGGTGCTGACCTATCCCAGCAGCTGGTGCTGACCTATCCCAGCAGCTGGTGCTGACCTATCCCAGCAGCTGGTGCTGACCTATCCCAGCAGCTGGAGCTGACCTATCCCAGCAGCTGGAGCTGACCTATCCCAGCAGCTGGTGCTGACCTATCCCAGCAGCTGGTGCTGACCTATCCCAGCAGCTGGTGCTGACCTATCCCAGCAGCGGGTGCTGACCTATCCCAGCAGCGGGTGCTGACCTATCCCAGCAGCTGGTGCTGACCTATCCCAGCAGCTGGGGCTGACCTATCCCAGCAGCTGGGGCTGACCTATCCCAGCAGCTGGTGCTGACCTATCCCAGCAGCTGGTGCTGACCTATCCCAGCAGCTGGTGCTGACCTATCCCAGCAGCTGGTGCTGACCTATCCCAGCAGCTGGTGCTGACCTATCCCAGCAGCTGGTGCTGACCTATCCCAGCAGCTGGTGCTGACCTATCCCAGCAGCTGGTGCTGACCTATCCCAGCAGCGGGTGCTGACCTATCCCAGCAGCTGGTGCTGACCTATCCCAGCAGCTGGTGCTGACCTATCCCAGCAGCTGGTGCTGACCTATCCCAGCAGCTGGTGCTGAGCCTGACCTATCCCAGCAGCTGGTGCTGACCTATCCCAGCAGCTGGTGCTGACCTATCCCAGCAGCGGGTGCTGACCTATCCCAGCAGTGGGTGCTGACCTATCCCAGCAGCGGGTGCTGACCTATCCCAGCAGCTGGTGCTGACCTATCCCAGCAGCTGGTGCTGACCTATCCCAGCAGGTGGTGCTGACCTATCCCAGCAGCTGGTGCTGACCTATCCCAGCAGCTGGTGCTGACCTATCCCAGCAGAGGGTGCTGACCTATCCCAGCAGCTGGTGCTGACCTATCCCAGCAGCTGGTGCTGACCTATCCCAGCAGCTGGGGCTGACCTATCCCAGCAGCTGGGGCTGACCTATCCCAGCAGCTGGTGCTGACCTATCCCAGCAGCTGGTGCTGACCTATCCCAGCAGCTGGTGCTGACCTATCCCAGCAGCTGGTGCTGACCTATCCCAGCAGCTGGTGCTGACCTATCCCAGCAGCTGGTGCTGACCTATCCCAGCAGCTGGTGCTGACCTATCCCAGCAGCTGGGGCTGACCTATCCCAGCAGCTGGTGCTGACCTATCCCAGCAGCTGGTGCTGACCTATCCCAGCAGCGGGTGCTGACCTATCCCAGCAGCGGGTGCTGACCTATCCCAGCAGCGGGTGCTGACCTATCCCAGCAGCGGGTGCTGACCTATCCCAGCAGCGGGTGCTGACCTATCCCAGCAGCGGGTGCTGACCTATCCCAGCAGCGGGTGCTGACCTATCCCAGCAGCGGGTGCTGACCTATCCCAGCAGCTGGTGCTGACCTATCCCAGCAGCTGGTGCTGACCTATCCCAGCAGCTGGTGCTGACCTATCCCAGCAGCTGGTGCTGACCTATCCCAGCAGCTGGTGCTGACCTATCCCAGCAGCGGGTGCTGACCTATCCCAGCAGCGGGTGCTGACCTATCCCAGCAGCGGGTGCTGACCTATCCCAGCAGCTGGTGCTGACCTATCCCAGCAGGTGGTGCTGACCTATCCCAGCAGGTGGTGCTGACCTATCCCAGCAGCTGGTGCTGACCTATCCCAGCAGCGGGTGCTGACCTATCCCAGCAGCGGGTGCTGACCTATCCCAGCAGCTGGTGCTGACCTATCCCAGCAGCTGGGGCTGACCTATCCCAGCAGGTGGTGCTGACCTATCCCAGCAGGTGGTGCTGACCTATCCCAGCAGGTGGTGCTGACCTATCCCAGCAGCTGGTGCTGACCTATCCCAGCAGCTGGTGCTGACCTATCCCAGCAGCTGGTGCTGACCTATCCCAGCAGCTGGGGCTGACCTATCCCAGCAGGTGGTGCTGACCTATCCCAGCAGGTGGTGCTGACCTATCCCAGCAGCTGGTGCTGACCTATCCCAGCAGCTGGGGCTGACCTATCCCAGCAGCTGGTGCTGACCTATCCCAGCAGCTGGGGCTGACCTATCCCAGAAGCTGGGGCTGACCTATCCCAGCAGCTGGTGCTGACCTATCCCAGCAGCTGGTGCTGACCTATCCCAGCAGGTGGTGCTGACCTATCCCAGCAGCTGGGGCTGACCTATCCCAGCAGCTGGGGCTGACCTATCCCAGCAGCTGGTGCTGACCTATCCCAGCAGCTGGTGCTGACCTATCCCAGCAGCTGGTGCTGACCTATCCCAGCAGCTGGGGCTGACCTATCCCAGCAGCTGGTGCTGACCTATCCCAGCAGCTGGGGCTGACCTATCCCAGCAGCTGGTGCTGACCTATCCCAGCAGCTGGGGCTGACCTATCCCAGCAGCTGGTGCTGACCTATCCCAGCAGCTGGGGCTGACCTATCCCAGCAGCTGGGGCTGACCTATCCCAGCAGCTGGTGCTGACCTATCCCAGCAGCTGGGGCTGACCTATCCCAGCAGCTGGTGCTGACCTATCCCAGCAGCTGGTGCTGACCTATCCCAGCAGCTGGTTCTGACCTATCCCAGCAGCTGGTGCTGACCTATCCCAGCAGCTGGTGCTGACCTATCCCAGCAGCTGGTGCTGACCTATCCCAGCAGCTGGTGCTCGTCCTTACCTATCCTACGACGTTGGTACAACGGTCGAACAAGTTTTAACACCTAACCAGTTATAACAACCAATATAGCAAGTTGTAACAACGTTCTAATACGTCATAAACACATTAAGCCAAGATGTAACAACTTTATTACAAGTTGTAACAAGCGAAAAGTAAAGACAGTTACGGTTTGTGTTTCCAGGGAATTTAACTGTTCTGACGTTCAGAATCATTGTCAAGTCTGGTCTTAACATTGTGGATGGAGGTGGCTTCCACAACATATTTGAGAGCATTCCACGTGATGTCTACCAGTACAGCGTACCGGTACTTGTCACGATGAGACACAATGAGGTGGTGAACACCTGGGCTGCTTGCAACAGTTGTACTGCTAGTGACACCTGGGCTGCTTGCAACAGTTGTACTGCTAGTGACACCTGGGCTGCTTGCAACAGTTGTACTGCTAGTGACACCTGGGCTGCTTGCAACAGTTGTACTGCTAGTGACACCTGGGCTGTTTGCAACAGTTGTACTGCTAGTGACACCTGGGCTGCTTGCAACAATTGTACTGCTAGTGACACCTGGGCTGCTTGCAACAGTTGTACATTGCACTTATGGGGCTATTACATTTACCTCTCCATTTAATCTCGTTTTCTATTAAGACACTCAGAATTTTAAAACTGTAATATCAATATAGAAATAGGTTAAGTAGTAATTGTAATTAAGAAGCAGTAAAATGCTTATCTTCAAAAACTAAGACGGTTAGGTTAGGTCGTGGTTTTCTATTCATCTTTTTGGGTAAACTCAAATATTCACAATATATTTGACAGTACGATGTAATACTAAGTGTAAATAAGTACAATTCGTGACTGTCATACATAGTACATAATTGCACTAATGGGACTGTTACAGTTACCTGCCCATTGTTGGAGGACGGGCTGAGGCGACTGTCAGATAAAGTGACACATAGTGCAGGAAGACAATATATACCACCATTACCTCTTATGTTGCAGGAAAGACAGAGCTGCTGGAGCGAGCGGGAGAAGGCCAGCACAACCTGGGAGGCGTGGCACTGGCACTCTACTCCGGACTGTTCGCCTACGGCGGCTGGAACTACCTCAACTTTGTCACCGAGGAGCTCAAGGACCCCCACAGGTGCGTACCTCACATTACCGGTCCTCCTCCTCCTCCAGTGACTGTAAGCAATAAGTCATATATGTACTGTCTTGTGCGAGAGCGGGTTGCCCCCTCCTCCGCCCACACATTACACCTCAACACCACGCTCTCCTCACGGTAACAAACACACACCACCATTTCAGGTATGTTTGAGAATAGTGTTGGTTGGTTTGAATATGAGAGCTGATGCCTTTGGTCTCTTAGGAATATATTGATACCATGGAGTTAGTCAACTGTTGTTGGATGCATCCTGGGAAAGGTCCATAGCTGGTGTAGGGGGACGTTATATAGTAGGCATAACCAGATCTCCAATAATGGGTAACGAAGGGGAGTTATTGGAAGGAGGCAGAGTAAGGATACACCTGGCTGTCAACAGTTATGAAGGTCACTGGTTGTGTAGAGGGGAGCCAGGGAGCCTTGGTGCCCCAGAGTGTGGTAAACCCGGCCACACAAGAGTGCTGGTAAAGTTTACCACCACTCAACAAGGCGCTGCCATTCCCGCCCACACTCTGGGCCTGTTAGCTAATTACACCAACACCATCTCGGGTCCTCCTTTATCACCTGCACGACTCCACTCCCTTCCCAGAGTTCCCAGAGATGGTCTCTGGCGGCTAACTCAACTTGAGGTTAACCAATTTGTTATCCATTTATCCTAGTGCATCTCAAGTCATAGTTTGTCAGTCCCACAAGCTTCAAGTGTGTGTGTGTGTGTGATATTGATGATTGTAAAGGACTACTGGAAGCTAAGATCTGTTGGCGTGTCTCGCTAACAACTGCAGCTTTACCCTGCCACCCTCCCCTGCGTCCCCTCCCTCCCTACCCATCCTTCCCCTCACACCCTACCCATCCTTCCCCAGCAAGGCCACCTCCCCAGCCCCGGGCACCAGACAAGGGGTTAACACTCCCCATTGTCATGTCCAGCTCCTTGAGAGACGAGACGGAGAGAGAGAGAGGAGACTCGTAGCTATAACAGCCTGGTGCACTATGTCCCTCCACCCAGCCTGGTGCACTATGTCCCTCCACCCAGCCTGGTGCACTATGTCCCTCCACCCAGCCTGGTGCACTATGTCCCTCCACCCAGCCTGGTGCACTCTGTCCCTCCACCCAGCCTGGTGCACTATGTCCCTCCACCCAGCCTGGTGCACTCTGTCCCTCCACCCAGCCTGGTGCACTCTGTCCCTCCACCCAGCCTGGTGCACTATGTCCCTCCACCCAGCCTGGTGCACTGTAACAAACTAGGCTGTTGTAAGAATTATCCAGAGTGGTTTATCGACAAAAGAGAATGGGAAGCTGAGCCCGCATGGTGACCTGGGAACCTGACCCCCAGGGGGATTCGCGGTGGAAATAACCGACGCTTTGTTCATAGCTGCGTATAATGAATCATCCTATAGTATTCAGTAATTTAGAGAAAATTAGCCTTTATTCATTTTGCATTAAAATTGTATTGTATAATAGTACTGGATACAATATCAAGAGTATTCTAATTATTGAGTTTAAGTCACCATCAGTGACGTCACGAATCAGATCTAACTTGTAAGGCGGAGTGACCGGCGGTCATAGGTCATCAGGGTTGACAGGTCTACTATTTCTCAAAGTTTTAATAACCATTTTTGGGGGATCGGGAACAGCTCTGCCGTTAGATGTTTGTGTAATTTAATTTCAGTAAAATAATTCAACCAGTCTGGATCAATTAAGTACAACAGAGGTTAATTGTTATAACTTAAACCTGGCTAGTAACTTGGTAAAACTTTGACTAGGCGGAAGGATACAATGTTCTAGTCTGGGCTAGGCCAGACGAGGACAGATCAGTGTGATCTGCAGAGCAGCTGGGAGAGGTCAAACATCTTACCTCTCCCCAAGACCAGCCCAACATCTTTAGCTGGTAAAACATAGAGGTATAGTTGCTATTGTTATGCATAGAAATAGTCTCATTTGCCATTCAGGTCAAGTAGGGAGTGTTAAAGTGACAGGGAGTGAACATATTTAGATTTTGTTTTAGTTTTTCTTTTAATAAATTAAATTTGTTAATATTTTGCATTTTATTATTTCCATGTGTTTTATGTGTAAACTTGTCCTGGTCACGTGGTCCACACGAGGAAGAGTTGGATTGGGCGCCGATTCTAACATCGAATCATTCCCGTGTAATTAATTTCACACTCTTAAGTTCCACGGTCATCGGTTATAGTGGGGATCAAGCCCCAAGGTTGAGTAATTAGCGTGATCGATCCAGACCTCGATCATTGCTCTTGTGTTACTGGTCTGGTGGTGGCAGCGTAGAGGCGACTCTAGGGTTTTGCTCAAAGCCTAGGTCACGTCATACTGGCTGTAGAATCCTAAGTCGGTCAATCGTCTTAGGACCACGTGGCGTGGAGTTGGCTTTGGTAAAAGTTTTGGAGTCCCTTGGTAGAGAATAAAAAAGTAAGAATACGGGTAGAGGGAGTAGAAGGAAAGAGAAGTAGAGATGAGAGAACCCTAACCCGTGTTACAGCACTCTGTCCCTCCACCCAGCCTGGTGCACTCTGTCCCTCCACCCAGCCTGGTGCACTCTGTCCCTCCACCCAGCCTGGTGCACTATGTCCCTCCACCCAGCCTGGTGCACTCTGTCCCTCCACCCAGCCTGGTGCACTCTGTCCCTCCACCCAGCCTGGTCCACTCTGTCCCTCCACCCAGCCTGGTCCACTCTGTCCCTCCACCCAGCCTGGTCCACTCTGTCCCTCCACCCAGCCTGGTGCACTCTGTCCCTCCACCCAGCCTGGTGCACTCTGTCCCTCCACCCAGCCTGGTGCACTCTGTCCCTCCACCCAGCCTGGTGCACTCTGTCCCTCCACCCAGCCTGGTGCACTCTGTCCCTCCACCCAGCCTGGTGCACTCTGTCCCTCCACCCAGCCTGGTGCACTATGTCCCTCCACCCAGCCTGGTGCACTATGTCCCTCCACCCAGTCTGGTGCACTCTGTCCCTCCACCCAGCCTGGTCCACTCTGTCCCTCCACCCAGCCTGGTGCACTATGTCCCTCCACCCAGCCTGGTCCACTCTGTCCCTCCACCCAGCCTGGTCCACTCTGTCCCTCCACCCAGCCTGGTGCACTATGTCCCTCCACCCAGCCTGGTCCACTATGTCCCTCCACCCAGCCTGGTCCACTCTGTCCCTCCACCCAGCCTGGTCCACTCTGTCCCTCCACTCAGCCTGGTGCACTCTGTCCCTCCACCCAGCCTGGTGCACTCTGTCCCTCCACCCAGCCTGGTGCACTATGTCCCTCCACCCAGCCTGGTGCACTATGTCCCTCCACCCAGTCTGGTGCACTCTGTCCCTCCACCCAGCCTGGTCCACTCTGTCCCTCCACCCAGCCTGGTCCACTCTGTCCCTCCACTCAGCCTGGTGCACTCTGTCCCTCCACCCAGCCTGGTGCACTCTGTCCCTCCACCCAGCCTGGTGCACTATGTCCCTCCACTCAGCCTGGTCCACTCTGTCCCTCCACCCAGCCTGGTCCACTCTGTCCCTCCACCCAGCCTGGTGCACTCTGTCCCTCCACTCAGCCTGGTGCACTCTGTCCCTCCACCCAGCCTGGTCCACTCTGTCCCTCCCCCAGCCTGGTCCACTATGCCCCCCTGCCCAGCCTGGTCCACTATGCCCCCCTGCCCAGCCTGGTGCACTCTGTCCCTCCACCCAGCCTGGTCCACTATGCCCCCCTGCCCAGCCTGGTCCACTATGCTTCCCTGCCCAGCCTGGTCCACTATGCTTCCCTGCCCAGCCTGGTCCACTATGCCCCCCTGCCCAGCCTGGTCCACTATGCCCCCCTGCCCAGCCTGGTCCACTATGCCCCCCTGCCCAGCCTGGTCCACTATGCCCCCTGCCCAGCCTGGTCCACTATGCCCCCCTGCCCAGCCTGGTCCACTATGCCCCCTGCCCAGCCTGGTCCACTATGCCCCCCTGCCCAGCCTGGTCCACTATGCCCCCTGCCCAGCCTGGTCCACTATGCCCCCTGCCCACCCTGGTCCACTCTGCCCATCCAGCCAGAAGAAACTAAACTACAGACCAATATACCTTGCTTATGATTCAAGACCAAAAGAGGGTATTATTTCAGCCTGAGAGTTGGGGGCAGTGTATGCTACCTCAAGGCCACTAACACTGTAGTGGCCTTAACGACGACAGGAAGCTGGCAGCTTTTCAAAAGTCCACCCATTTGCATTTATTATTTTTTCCACCTGGATTTTTAAAGTTCAGCAGAGTTTAGGCATTTACGGCTTCAACGGGTCGGTGATTTCATTGGTATATAACTCTGTGGGTAAAAAAGCATCTCCTTTTTCCCATCCTACATTGTGGCTTTTAGAGTTTGAAACCGTCGCTCCTTGACCATCTCAGATGTAACACCTGTTTGTGTTACATCTGACTTTTGAAGACATTGTCCTGATCAATATCCTCCAGATTGTTCAGTATTTTAAAAGTTTCAATGAGATGAGACCTGTCATGCCTGGTTTGCAGTGTTGTTGGTCCTGAGGTCCTCAACTATTCCTGGAATGATATTTGACTTAGTTCAGTAATGGTTTTTGTTGCCCGGTGTTGAACTTTCTCCAAAGCAGCTATGCCCTTCTGAAGATGTGGTCTCCATGCTTGGATACAATAATCCAGGTGAGAGCGCACCAGAGATTTATACAGTTGAATCAGTCCCCGTGGTGTAGTGGTTAAGACACTCGCCAGGGGTTTCGCGAACGCTTTGTCCTGGTTTTGTATCTTGGTTGAGGAGGATTTACTGGGTGTCAATTCTTAACTGTAGCCTCTGTCTACCCAACAGTAAAATGGGTACATGGTTGTTAAACGATTTGGCGGGTAGTATTCCGGGGAACATAGGATCAAGGACTTGCCCAAAATGCTACGTATGCTAGTGCCTGTACAAGAATGTAAGAACTCTTGTACATATAAATAAATAAATAAAAATAAAAAATCCCTACCTTCTTTTCCTTTAAGTCAAAGGTATGCTTGATTATTCCGAGGGTTTGGTTAGGTTTTTTTTATTGCCACTCCTACATGTTGTGCAACTTTCAGGGAATGGTGGATCCTGACTCAATTGTTCAATTCCCCGTCAATCTGCTACAAGGTAATGTTAACTTGATAGTTGTGGCGTGGGTTGTTATGCTCCACATGTAAGGTCTTGCATTTTTCTATTTTAAAAACTATTTGCCAGTCTTCTGACCATTTGTGGAGTTCATGTAGATCTTTTTGTAAGGCTTCGATATTATTCTCACTTCCCATTATAAATCTTCTCATAAATCTTTGCATCATATACAAATTTGATGATGTGACTTGAAATATTTTCATCTATGTTCAACTCAGGGATGGCAAACCCTGCCTTACAAACTTGGTAAGAGTTCACTATTTAGGTGACTGAGATCAGACAAGATAAAGGGTGAGCAGAGTGTATTGTTGATACCTGGTTGATGGGGTTCTGGGAGTTCTTCTACTCCCTACTCTGACTTGTGAGAGTTTGGTCCACTAGGCTGTTGCTTGGAGCGGCCCGCAGGCCCACATACCCACCACAGCCCGGTTGGTCCGGCACTCCTTGGAGGAATGCCCAAGGATTGTTGTTGAGGATTGTCAGAAAGCCTTTGATACAGTACCTCCAGGAGACTTATGCAAAACATGCAGAAACAGGCAGGAGTGTCAGGAAAGGTACTCCAGTTAATAAAGGAGTATCTAAGCAAAGGAAGAGACCGAGTCATTGTGAGAGGAGAGACCTCACAGTGGCTGGATTTTTTATTGGACAAATACCACAGGGATCAATTCCAAAGATGCCTTGTTACCCATAGTTATGCCCCATGGAACTGTCTACCCGCCAAAACCATAAATGCTAAGACATTTCTTCACTCCAAAATTCAGTTGGAAACAATCCTCCGGATCAATGGGGTTAATTTTGCCTATTTGGATTTTTCAAGGAGTGATGCAGGCCATATGTAATGATACCAAATAAGATATTTTCCTACAGGGTAGCCATATACTTATTAAATACATATATAAAACGCTAAACTATAATGCCAATCCTGATCTTAAAAGCTTCATAGAAGGTTGTAACAGAACCCATGAGCACCACACCAGAAATAAATACAGTTTTGATATTCCTAGAGTACGTCTTAATCAAACTAGAAATGCTCTGCAAATCAAGGGGCCCAGAATGTGGAATGACCTTCCCAACCATGTTAAAGACTGTACCTCTCTCAACCAGTTTAAGATAAAAACTAAACACTACCTAATAAATTCCCTGTAATCTACCTCACTCCTCTATTGTCAACCCATGTCTGTTATTTTCTTTTTATTTTCTTTTTTTTTTTCTTTTTTTTTTTAATCAACACTGTTTGTCAACCTATTGTATTTGTGCTGCTTTTTCAGTCATGTTCCCCCTTTTTTTTTATCTTTATTTGTATTTGTTCTCAACATCTTTTATTCTTTATGCTCAATTAGTATTAAGTTCTTGATATTAATGTTTTTCTTGCCCGAAACGCATTGCGTAATAGTGGCTTTAGGCATTGTATGTACTAGCTCTATCTATATATCAATCCATTAATGTAACATCACTTGTATGTATATACCTTACCTGAATAAACATCTGAATCTGAATCTGAATCTGAATCTGAATCTAAATGTAAACCTCTGGGTAATATTTTTGTTATATGTGAACTTTAATGACATGAGTTGAAATTATAATAGCCTTAGGATTGCTGGACTGTTTCAAACGAGGGTTAGACATATGAGTAAAGTATATATGAATGAGTTTGTGTGGTGAAATACTATATGTTCTGCATCGTATAGGTCACTAAACCTTCTGTAGTCATCATTATTCTTATGCATTATATTATGTATTCTATATTATTGATATTACTACTTCAGGAACCTTCCTCGAGCGATCTGGGTGGCATTGCCATTGGTGACGACAGTGTATGTGCTGGTGAACGTGGCCTACCTGGCAGTGCTTCCTCCCTCACACATCCTCTCATCCAATGCTGTTGCTGTTGTAAGTACTTATACCTCATTCCCAATTGGGAATTGAGTCAACCTGGGCAGGTTGACTCGTCTCTCTCAGGTGCTCGCCTGATAGGGGCTAAGTCAGCCTGGGCTATGTAATTACCTAAGTGTAGTTACAGGATGAGAGCTACACTTGTGGTGTCCTGTCTTCCCAGTACTCTTTGTTGTATAACGCTTTGAAACTACTGACAGTTTTGGCCTCCACCACCTTCTCACCTAACTTGTTCCAACCATCTACCATTCTGTTTGCAAAAGTGAATGTTCTTATATTTCTTCGGTAGCTTTGTTTAGTTAATTTAAATCTATGACCTCTTGTTCTTGAAGTTCCAGGTCTAAGAATTCCTTATCAATTTTGTCGATTCCCGTTACCATTTTGTACGTAGTGATCATATTGCCTATTTTTCTTGTCTTCTGGTTTAAGCATATTCAGTGCCACTAACCTCTCTTCATAATTCTTGTCCTTCAGTTCCAGATGCCATTTAGTCGCATGTCTTTACACCTTTTCCAGGATGTTGATGTGCTACTTAAGATATGGGCACCATACAACTGCTTGCATATTCCAACTTTGGTCTCACAAGTCATGAACAATTTCTTTAGTATTTCACCATCCATGTACTGTACTTAAAAGCAATTCAGAAATTGGAAAGCTTAGCATAGGCTCCTCACACAGTGTTCTTTAGTGGTCCCCAGGTGACAGGTTTCTATTTAGAACCACCCCTGGATCTCTTACTTTATCAGAATTTTTTTGAAGTGTGACTCACCTCTCAGGTGTTGAGTCAGCCTGGGCTGTGTGACTCACTTCTGAGGTGTTGAGTCAGCCTGGGCTGTGTGACTCACTTCTCTCTTAGGTGTTGAGAGAAACTTGGGCAGTTTGACTCGCCTTTCTTAGGTATTGAGTCAGCTCGGACTGTGTGACTCGCCTCTCAGGTGTTGTCAAACTAGGCAGTGTGACCCACCTCTCAGGTGCTGTCAGACTAGGTATTGTGGCTCACCTCATTCAGGTAATCTACTACCCAATCTGCTTCTTGTAATCCACAATTCTGCATCTCTCATGTGAACGATTAGGTAGTGGTACACATGACAGATGTAGTGCATGTTAGCGTCCTTAAGGAGTATGAAGAAATGTTTTATTTCTCTTCTATGGGTACTCCTTTATAGTTTAGATAAACCTGCCTGGAGGCTTTCTTGTCATTACTGCAACTTTCTTCAGAGTTTCCTTAGGTAGACAAGTTGTCAAAGCTAGACCCATATTAGCTATAAAATGAATCATCCTTACAATGAGTTATTAGCAAATATATTATATTCTACAACCAGTTAATTTGACTGTTATAACTTTCACACAGGCCTTTGGAAGTGAAGTACTTGGACCACTGAAATACACAATGCCAGTCTTTGTAGCACTGTCCACTTTTGGGAGCTTGAATGGCATCCTCTTTACCTCTGGACGACTGTTCCTGGCAGGTGCGCGGGAGGGCCACCTGCCTCCAGTGCTCTCCTACATCCATGTTCACTCCTGCACACCTGTTCCAGCCCTCCTTGTCACGGTCAGTCTCTCCTCCATCTTATTTAATAGTAATAATAATAGTTAGTAATGGCAATGTCTTCTCACAGACTTAATAACATAGTATAAAAACCCACACTTGTGTATACACTATGTGAAATTTATGTAAGGAATTTACACCAAGTCTTTTGCACTAATCAACATTTAATTAGACGTTGAGATGTAAGTCTCCTTCTAATCACACACTCAGACCCTGATAAAGCACTCAGGAGAGTGCTTCATTTTGTGTATTACAGAGTGTAATGTGAGAGTGCATTACATTTTGGTGTAAATTCCTTACATAAATTTCACATATACTGTACACAAGTGTGGATTTTCATCCTAAATAATAATAATTTGTATTTATATAACATACATTTGAAACATGATAATGTGGAGTATTCACAGGTATAGTGTAGAGTATATTTAATAAAGTCTGCTTCGGGCATAGCTTAGAATACTTTGGTTAAATTATATACAGTATATTGCCCAAAAAGTATTGCCCGAAATGCTATGCGTGCTAGTGGCTGTACAAGAATGTAAGAACTCTTGTACTGTATATATGAATAAATAAAAAAATGATATAGATTTGATGGAGTAAATTCAATATTAAAAAAAAAAAGTTGTGAAAGTAATATATATTGTCACTAATATGTTTTATGTGTAATGTAACTATTTTGACTTAGCTTTTAGGCGGGAATTGGTCAGAAATATAAACTTTTCCATATGAATAATAAAGTAAATTTATTTTAATATAAACCTCTGTCTTGATCGAAGAATTTGTAATGATCTGTGAGAGTCGTGGACAGGTGTAATTTTTTAATATACAGTACTGTATTTCATCTTTGGCATTGATGTTAAAGCTGATGATTAGGAATGAATAACAAATTGTTATATACTGACAAACTTAAAATGTGTTGTTTTATTACTGTACTTTGACTCAGGACTCTTCTCTCCTTCATTTATATCAACTTTAAAATAAACAATTACAAATATATCCAGTATAATAATAATTATTATTTTAGTTGTTTCAGAGAATGTCCTGTATAAATATAATAGCCACTAATTTGTAAAGCATTTTCGGCATAACTTAAAATAATTTGGTTAAATTATTTTATAGGTTAGACTGAGAAAATACTTAATACTAAATGAGAAGCTATCACATATGAATTGTTAAAGAAATTTAACAAATAATATACAGCTTTTAAGTGATAGTGATGAAAGGCACATACGGTGATTATACATTGAGTAAAGTTTACATAGTGAATAAAGTTTACGTGAGTTTCCCTGAGTTTACTTGTGGACCACCATCTATCTAGTTAGGTACAGCCTTTTGGGCATAAACACATTCCTGCTTTGTGATAAATCTACATATTATTTCAGTGTGTGTTGTCTCTGGCAATGCTGGGTGCCGACATCATCTCTCTCATCAACTGCTTGTCATTTGTGCTGTGGCTGAGTATTGGAGCAGCCGTGGCAGCTCTACTTTGGCTGCGACGTACCAGACCTAATCTGCATCGTCCTATACGTGTCCACACCGTTTTGCCTCTCGTCTTCTTAGCTGGTTGCATCTACCTTGTCGTCGTGCCTATGATTACTGAACCTATTAGCACAGGTATGGTGCCTATTTACAATGTGTATGAGTATTTTATACTTACCAAATATGGTGTAAACAGATACAGTTGCCCTCATTTGTCATTAAGAACATACAGTAATTGGAAAACTGACTACTCCAATTTCTCATTTAAATCAGTGACCTTCTAATTGCCACTCAACAATTGAAGCCAGTTCTGTTCCCGATAATACAACTTTTCTTTTCTCTCATACTAACCCACTTATTCTAAATGACACAATTGATACTGAACTAAAAAAAAAAAAAGACCATTTGTGACTGCTAACAGCTTGTCCTTAACAGTGATAAAATATTTTACCATTCAAATTAATCTTAGAATTAATAATACCCAAATTAACCGCAGAGTAGACGAGGAATTCCTTGGTGTTCACATAGCAAGCTGAATTTCCATTGCCAACTACAAAACATAAAAAAGTTCTAAACAGAAGGCTTTTTCTCTAAAATCAGATACTATGTACCTGGCCTGCCTTGGCAATCTTGTATTATTTGCTTATCAATCCATATCTCAGTTATGGTATCTTTGCCTCGGGATCTAGAACCCTAAATTACCTTCAACCCTTAATTGCTCAACATAAGTCAGCAAATAAAACTCCAGTCACAAGCAGCATTCAGCACTCCTACCAAAATCTTTGAATAGCAGCAGTTTGTTCCTACATCAGTTCTTCTTTGGTGCACACTTTGTGGGTTGATCCTGTCACTCTGTGTACTAAGGCTCATATATCTCTGGTTTTCCACAGTATTACCAATAGCTAGCCACCATTCTAACCCCAATCTCATAATGTTAACAAATATGGTGTTTTCATATAGGTCTTTTAAAATTTGTCTTGGTGAATATTCGAGCTCGAGTTTTGATGGTAAAACAGGGTTATGGCTGCCAGATATTTAATCAGTGTCCTGGTACTTGTTGATCCCATGTTGCCTTCGGTTGTGTTTGCCTGGCCAATGGTCCCTCCTTCAAATTAGTACCTTGTATCTAAATAACCACAAAGAAAGATGAAAAAAACCCTCATCTTTCTCTGTGGGTATTTAGCTACTGGGAGTCACCAAGGGGCATCCCAGAAAGTCAACATTGAATGTAATAAAATGCCTCTTTCTGGTAGAGCCGTGGTTGCTCTGAGTCTTTCTCTCAGGTTTGTCAGTTCATTAGGGTGGTTTTTTATCTGCTCCAGAATGGAACGGAAAGTTGGTGGAGGACCACTCTCTGGGCAGCTTGGTGGTGGCAATTGGAACTAATGGGTTCAAACTAATTTTGAGTAAATTATTTTGTTTTGTTTGAATCATTTAGGGAGTTGTTTGGGAGTTTAAAGGCTTCAGTTCTTGTAAACCAAGCAGTAATCTATGAAGTTTCGCTGACTTTCTGGATGCTTTTCTGGTGAAATGGCAGTCTCTGCACCTCTGTGAGGGGTTGTGGGGACCAGGTTCTGGCTCTGGTACCCAGTAGGCCAAACAAAACTCCTGCGACTGATGTGACTTTGTAGTATGGAGCAATCTCAGAGATAGCAACAAGGAGCCACCGAGCCTGCAAGAAAGTGGGGTTTCGTTATATTCAATGCTGGATTTTTCCAGTGTGATGTGATGCAGTAGTGCAGCAAGACTGGGCTGGTGTAGTGTGGCTCTCACTCACATAAAGAAAATAAAAATGCTACTTTGGGCCTTGCAGTGTGTAAGTGGCAGGATGAAACAAGAAACAGATGAACAAATAATAAACTTTACTATAATAATAATTAACCTAACAGAAAACAGTTCCTGCAAATACTTGGCTATTATAACAGAACAAACAAAACACGCAAATGAAATCCTTAATATGGATACAATACAATATTATACTGGTGAGCTGAAGACATCCACCATACCACCACAGCATCCGACACACGACGAAGGCTGGTAGCAGACGGCGGGTGAAAGAAGCAGTGATGAGCCCCAAGAATACCAGAGAGAGATTAGCTTCCATGGGTTGCAGGACTCTATTTATACCCCTGTTGGTGATGACATTACATCTTGTGTCAACGTGAGCAGTAACAAGCGGTTGAGGGTAACTGCTAGTTAGCAGCTGCACCACAACTGGGTAGAGGCTGTATAACTGCTAGTTAGAGGTGGCAAACTGCTTGGTAGAAATGGCTAACTGCTAGTTTGCAGAGGCACTCTGCCTGCTAGCGAGCTGTACCAGGCCCTGGGTGGTATGGGGTGGTGGAGCATGAGAGGTGGAGAGTCCATCGTAGGACTGTTCTTGGCTGTCATAAAGGTAGACTTCCAGTGTGATGACATGGAAGGTGAGTGGAAGAGGCAGTTACACTGCTATGCTGGGGATTTACGTGACACCAGCGCTTTGCATTTTTATATTTTGTATATAATTATTTTATATGTTTTTGTATATAATATTTATATGTAAGTCTCCATCATACTATGCTAGTAATAGGATGGATCATGTTCATGTTCAATCTTGCCTAAACTAAGAAATTGTTTGGTCTGAATAATTTTTTTGCATTTTTAATAATGGTTTCCAAATTCTGCAGGCATTGGCATTCTAATAACCCTGTCTGGCATCCCTGTCTATGTGGCAGCAGTGTGGAAATCCAAGCCTGACTGGTTCAACACCTTCCATGGTAAGAGCCACACACCACTTTATTCAAAAGTAGAACAATGAAGTAACTAATTTCATCACCATAGTATCCCACCTCACCCTACTAACTCACTCAGTATTTTATTATCTACAAATTACAACTATATCAATATAATTTATTTTATACCACTTTATAGTAGTATAGTAACAATGTGAATTCAAATTGTCATTACAGTATACTGGGGCATTTATTTTGTATAAAAAAATATACTGTTTCTCCTTCTAATTAAAAATTTATTGCAAATTCTGTATTAGATTCAGGATCTGCCTGATACATTATCTGTGTTACTGCGATGGCATTGTAAGAATTTACCTGAATTTACCCAAAGGCTACCATTTCTCTAGTGTCGTTGGTGGGGACAAGTCAATGGCTTGTCAAATGTCCCATCCCCCCTTTTTTCTGATGATTTTTTCCAGCTGGATTTTGAATTGCAATACAGTATTGTCTTGGCATGTATAGCCCAAGTAAATAAATAAACAAACAATATATATGCTGAAAATGGCAGGGCTCACTCACTCCCTATATACTCATTTATAATATACTGTACTGTATATTCATATACAGATAACAAGCAACCCCTCAAATTCTCATGAAGCAAAAGTAGGTTCGGTGGATATACCACTAGGACCACTGAACCTGCAGGGAGATTTCTAGGACCTGCAGGGAATGTGACCCTACAGGAAGCCCAGGCACCGGGATGCTATGCCAGACCCATAGAACCATATAGGCTCTCTTTTATTGTAACAAAATACTGTACAGAGATAGGTAAGCCAACATGGCTAGGCTTGTGCCACTGTGAAGGCTGACCTCGGTATGGTGAATGCAACTCGTGAACCACAGTGCACCCAACCAGCCAAAATCGCACCCAGCCTAAGAAAAGACAGAAGATTAAAGTCCATTGACTCACCCACAGCAAAGGCCACCACAAGTGAGGAGGACCTCCAAAGGAACGATCCTCAAACACTGCAGGGCAGCACTAAAGGAGTACACAGGGAAGAGAGCCCTGAGCACATGCAGCTCTAAGTGCTCCTAACTCCTGGCTCATACTGCACCAAAGTGCACAGAAATAGTCATGAATGCAAAACACCACTTAGCTGAAAAAACTGATACCAGAGTGAGAGTGACAGAGGGCACCTCACTCTCGCTACCATAAAAATAGAACTGATGGTGCAGCCTGCTGACACTGGGCTGCCTCATTCCTTCCTTCAAATAAGGAAAGGTGGGGCAAATGAGCTCGCACTAGTTTCACAAATTTTTTATCATGTGTTTACATTGTTGGGAGGGTTCTTTTGGTGGTTCTTGAGGCTGTGGTCTCACTTATAACCAGCAGTGGTCTGTTTTGCTTCACTAACTTTCTGGGTGCTTTCCTGTTGGTGGAAGATAAGAATAAGTTAATACTGATAGTGATTTTACCATATGTGCCACTGCTCCCTGCGCCTCTTTGAAAGGGGCCCCAGGTTCTGATCGTAATCCCCATTAGGCCAATAAAATTCTGCAACTGATGGCACCTAATATTATGGCACTCTATCAGAGTTGATAGCTTTAGGGGAACCAGAAGGGGTCTCTCCCCCCCCCAACAAAAGGTGTGTGTGATGGGGGGTCCCACAAGAACCTTCTCCTTGGACAAGAGTGCAACCCTTCCTCCGAATAGACAGTACGTTTTAATACTAAATGTAATAAGTACATTCCTGATAGCCTGCAGAGTTCATAAATACACTTAATTGTGCCCTTACATTTACCTCCCCATATATTCTCCTCATTTTCTGTTAATACACTCAAAATTTTAGGTTGAAGTTTTTGTGTTCAATTCTATATACACAAGTTTTAAATATAAAAAATTTCCTTTTCAGTTTTATTGAAAATAGAGATTTTATACTCGGGGAAAATATCCTGAGTTACTTTATAATTTATTGAAAGACTTTAGTTTAGTTCTATCAGTTTTATAAAATTTGTAATATCAATCAATATAGGTATAGGTTAAGTACTAATTGTAATTAAGAAGAAATAAATGCTATTTACATGCTTGTCTTCCTACACTCCCAAGGTTAGGTTAGGTCGTGATTTTCTATACAGCTTTTCAGGTAAACTCTAATATTCACAATATTTTGGCGCGACGCTGGCCATTAAGTGTATTTATGTACTATGCCGCTAGTCAGGACTGTACTTATTACATTTAGATTAGATTAGATTAGATTTTTTATTCAGGTAAAGGTACGAACATTGAAGATGAGTTACAAACATAATATTGGAATATTAACATAATATCAACATAATGTTAGTATTAAAATGTACTGTCTATTTGGAGGAGGGGCTGGGATAACTGTGTAGGAGAAAATGTACCACTGAGAAAGGTGGGAAATTTACAGTTGGAACGTGCATAAAGAACTGTGAATGTTGAAAAAGCGAAAGAATTGTGGCAGAGCGCTGCCCACTTAAGCCGATGTCAGGTGAAAAGCTGGAGCCCCTCCCCATTATCCTGAAACAAGAGAGGAAGGGTGGTGCAATTGTCATCACACTTCATATATTGGTAAGATTTGTTAATATATCTGCTTCTTTATTAATGTGTTTATTATTATATATTTCAGATGAGGTGACATTCCAGCTGCAAAGATTGTTGCTAGTGGTGGCAGCTGAGCAACAGACAAATGAGCCTCTGTTAAGTCCCTCTGACCAGCACCATTGACACAATTATTCTAGTAATGACGAGAGGATGGGTAGGGGTAGTAGGAGGAGGAGGAGGAGTAGTATGGAGGAAAAGGAAGATATGGAGAGAAAGAGGAAGGAAGTAGGTGGTACTGAAGTTACCAAGTGCCTGCTATATGCCACTAAGTCTGCGGGCACTCCAGGAACATCAAAAAGAAGACATTCAGGTGATAGAGAAACAAAAACTTGGAGAGTTGCTGAAACATTATAGCAAGAGCAAAGGTTAAGACGGAAGTACTTAAGAGATGTGATTATAAATTAAAAGGAGATAATAAGCAAGACAAAAAATAATTGATACAATATAAAGGATTGACCAGCCAAGTATATATTTGAAGCAATGTACATTATAATGTAAATTTGATATACTATATTTCTCATTGAAGTATTGCAATGTTCCATGTGTTGAGCAGGCTGGTGGCAACTTAAAAACCAGAAACCTAAAGAAAACAAAAAAAAATTTATGATTAAAACAACAAACAATGGCTGTGTACAAGAAATAACATATCATAAGCCTTACGTATGATCTCGTGAATTAGAATTTAACAATAATTTCATTATTCATGGGCAATAATGAATTCAATATTTATTAGGTGATATAATATAGACAAATATTTAACCCAAACCACACACATGAAAGAATTGTAAGTGACAACATTTTGGTTCATTCTGAACCTTTATTGAGTCTCTATTTGATAAGGGACCTAAACACACTGAAGCATCACTCATTTTGTTTTTTTAATTGTGTGGGTTGGATTAATTGTCAGCCACGTTATTGTGACTTATTAGGAATTATTATTCTCTTAGAACAAATATTTATTAAAATACCAGCTAAATTTCCAGTTTAAAATTGGTTCTCTGCAATTCAAGAGAAAACTCAGGAATGAGTTGGATTAGGAATAATTCTAGCCTAAATTTTTTTTAATTTTCTTTCTCCCTGATAAGCCCTAAGGAAAAAGTTCTTATAAAAAATCAGATAGAAGTAAGGGTGAACAGCAATATTAAATTCTTGAGCATTTTCAATTTAGGGGATAGAGACTACAATGGAGTATCTTTGAACAAACTTTCTATTAAAAGAAAACTATGACTTGCAGATTTTAAAATATTAGTTTTTATAATAATACTGTATAATCAGTGTTTATTTATGTAAGAAAATACTGTTTGTTATAAAATTAAAATTTTATAATGTTTTTTATCAATAACTAATATAAACTTTGTCCTTTTTTTAATATAATGAACAGCCAAGACAGGAATATATATACATAGTCACTTGAGTCCTGGACTATGTTCACGACTCAAATATTTTTAGTGGTTGGTGGGTAAGTTATTGTGGTGGCCTTAATAACGTTCCCGAGGTTGAGAGCCCAACACGAAACAAACAGCTAAGACAAGTTTGTTTAATATACAATATGGCTCCTCTTATATAGTGACCAAGATATCAGCTATCCCACTCCATGTAGTGATCTTGACTTACTAGGGATATAAATATTTTATAGTAACTAAATTTTGAACACTTAGGTAATTACATATTGATATAATGTAACTTGACAGGAATTGTGTTAATCTCTAAGCTGTGCAGCTATTTACAAGTATGACATCAAGGTGCGCATCACTAATAATAATTAACAAAAATTGCGTAGATCGATGGGAGCACAGGAGGAAATAACAGAAAGTAATTGGGGCACAGTAGAAAATCACATAGCAATTGGAACACAGGCGGAAATCACAGATAGTAATTGGAGCACAAAAAAGAAATCACAGATGATTGGAACACAGGAGGAAATCAAAGATAGTGATTGGAGAACTCGAGGAAATTGCAAATAGTGATTAGAGCAAAGGAGGAAGTCAAAGACAACAATTGGAGGAGCACAGGATGAAATCATATATAGTGATCCAAGCACAGGATGAAATCTCGATGGTGATTGGTGTACAGGAAGAAATTGCAGATAATGACTGGAGCAATGAAAAGATTAAATAACACCTACAAATAGTATACAGTAATGGTAAATAAAATAACATACAATGTTGTATTGAAAATAAATATTTAAGATTATTACCACAGGCTGATGGACTCGACATACTGGATATATAGATGTTTACTAAATTTACTGCATTGTAACCTAAATATGTAGATGTTGTAAACCTGTTTTGCATTTATTAATATACTGTAACTGAAAACTTGTACCAATAGCATTCACTAGATGTGAGCTCATAATGTATTTAGACAGCTGAGTGTGAATACTGTATATGTTTATAGGATATGTATACATTGCCAAAGAATCTCTGAAAATCAAACCTCAAGGAGACTTACTTCAAACTTGGAATAAGCAGAGCATGCTAAGGCCCTGCACTGATAGCATAATGTTAACTTATAACCTAATATTATTGCATACCCTATCTGCTAAAATTGCCAAATTTTAGGCTGCCTTATTTATTTTCTTTCTCACATGAGAATGGTAGTTCCAGATACTGTATTTATCTTAATCTTCAATACAGTTGTCAAGCACTGATGCTGCAGTCTTATCTTCCAGGGCAACACTGGTCTCCTGTGTCCTCCTTGCTTCTTAAGTCAATCACTTTGGCCTTCTCTGCAATGTATAGCTCCTCCTGCTTACCATAGCTTTCCCAACCACTTGGACTGGCCAGAACAGCAATGGCCTCGCTTTAGCAGGGTCAACGTTTGATCGTTGATGGTTTAAGTGGTTGGTCACCATTCTTTAATGCATCCTTATATTCCAGCTGCTCCTCTTCACACACCTAGTCCATGTGCTATATAGTCATACTGGTTTAGTACTTTTGCCCGATAACAACCTTAACCTCTTATTAGCTTAGCCTTTCTTGTCAACTCTTTCATTGAATTTTCAATGTGAAAACCTAAAAATCACCATTCTACATGCGTTTGAATTACTGGACCATCCATGGTTCATTGGTCCATGCTTGCCTGCAACCACATTTCTCTTATGGGATCTTAGCAAAACATTTGATGTATCCAAGCTAAGGGGACCAGAGATTCATATTATCAATTTTTTTTATGGCATTATGTTGACGTAAATAGTTGATTATATTAGTGGATTTTCCCAGACACCAATCGTTTGATTATTTGAAATTCTGCAGTACTGTACTTAAATTTGCCCATACCTCTGTTCCTGGTCTTGTGTTATAGGCAGTAAGTTTTTTGGTCTACCACTGAAGTTTTTGGCTAGTCAGCAGGTTACCAGGGTTAATGCAGCCATGTGCTTCTTAATGTTCATGTACTGATTTTATACGCATATAGTCACCAACTGGTTCATAATAATAATAATTTCATTGATATAAATTACATTTGAAACAATATACATTAATGGAGTATCCTTAACTTGAGCCTAATCAAGATAGAGAGTGAAAATTATTATTTGTTATTGCCTCTGGTTAATAAATAATGAAAAAATCAACACAATCTTATATTCCGGTATATGCTTATGAGAGCAAATGAATACAGTAAATGGAATTTCAATACAATGTCATATTTACACAAGATTTTGGTAATTTTTAAATTGTGATATTATGTGCCTATTATGTTAGATACTTATAGTAACCATAATCTAACAATATACATTAATCAAAAAATTATATATTTTGTATTATAACTTTATTTAAAAAATCCGAGTTGCATTTTTTGCAGCTAGAATATAAGGTCAACTTGTCTTTCACATTTTTTGTACTTATAATCTGTAACAATATAGTATTTTATAAAATATATTGTACACACAGTAGGAATTTTTTTCATCAGCATGAGGTGCCAATGGACAAAACTGTTTGGTCATTTTTGTAATGTTTCAGTGATTCTGCACACTAAAATAAACAAAATATAAATATATACATATACACTTGTATATATAGTGGTTCCTCCATTTACAAATTTAATCCGTTCCCAGAGATGGGTCGTAACTCAAAATAAATTTTCCCATAAGAAATAATGTAAATTGAATTAATCTGTTCTACACTCCCAAAAAATTAACTTCAAAATACATTTCATACATAATGCACACACATTTTGTATTAAAGTATGTACAAGTTATAGCCTACCTTTATTGATGATTCTTCTTGGCATATGGAAGACGGTGAGGAGAAGGTGTTACTATTTGGAAGGGGAGTCCCCTTCCATTATAAAATCAGGCAGTGATGACTTCTCTGGGGTACTCTCTCTCTCCTACGTTTTGCCTACATACCACTAGGACTTGGTTGTGGCTCACTGCTTGTTTTTCTCATTAAGAACCTTTCCATAGAAACTTGTTTTTCCCTACATTTTAACATTTGTCTGTAGTGAGGCATCAGTCATTGAAAAGGTTAAGGCAATGGCCTACTGAAGCTTGATTTGGGCAAGTCATTTCAACACAACTTTGAATTTCTTCCCATACTGCACACCACTTCTTAAGTGTTGAGGAACAAATGGCATGGTATATAATAATTACTTTCATGCTTAGAAAGCAAAAAAGCTGAAAAACAATGAAATTCTTTACGGAGAATCCAAGTGCGAACATCACTAAGTGGGCAATTTGGTAAACTGAAGCGGGATCGCCTGTGTCACCAGGAATCCCGCACTCCATCGACCCATACGTGAATCAACAGTCATAAGTCGAACTGAATTTTCCGACGAAATTGAGGTCGTAACTCAACAAATTTGTAAGTACTGTACAGGTATGGGCACTTTTAAGTCAAGGTTCCACTATATATATATATACAGTACAACCTCGATTCGACGTACCCCGATTCGGCAAATCTCCGGCTAAGTCGCTCACTTTCCAGGCCAGATTTACTCACCCGTTTCGACGTACAGTGACACCTCAGCTTACGAATGCCCCTCTTTACAAACTTTTTGGGTTACAGGCCCAGTTTCTTCGCAAAATCTGAATTGGGTTATGAACTTTGCCTCGGGTAAAGAAGTTTGTTGATATGCATATGGGCAACCTAGCGCGTGGTGGCACAGCGACCATGCCTCAGTTTATCAGTGCCTCTCACCTAGTGACAATCGCGTCTGAATTCTTTGTAAAGAATTTTAGTGTTTTTTGGATTTTTGGGTATTTGAACATAAAAGTAATTATATATCTCGCCATGGGTCCCAAGAAAGTTAGTGGTAAGGTTCAACCTAAGAAAATAGTTGTGAGTAGAGGCAGTAGAGGATGTCCCTTCCTCATTAAGAAAATGTGTGAAGTATGGGAAGAACTGCAAAGTTTTGTTGAAAAAAACTCGCCCAGATAAAGCTGTAGCAGGCTGTTGCATTGACATTTTAAAGGACAATGTGATGCCTCACTACAGACAAGTGTTAAAATGTAGGGAAAAACAAGTGTCTTTAGACAGATTCTTAGTAAGACTAGCAAGCAGTGAGCCACAACCAGGTCCTAGTGGTACTCCTGCAAAACATAGGAGAGAGTACCCCAGAGAAATCATCACTGCCTGATGTTATAATGGAAGGGGACTCCCCTTCCTAACCTAACACCTCTCCTTCTCCCCCCTCCCCCATCTTCCATATCCCTACAAGAGTCATCAATAAAGGTAAGCAATAACTTGTACATACTTTAGTACTAAAGATTTGGGTGAATTAGGTATAAAATTGACTTTGAAGTTAATATTTTGGGAAGTGTGGAATGGATAAATTCGATGTACATTATTTCTTATGGAATTATTCACTTTGGTTTACGAATTTACAAGTTACAAACCTTCTCTGGTAACGGATTAAATTCGTAAACAGAGGGGTACCTCTGGTTCACGGAAGCGGGGGATGTGCGATTGGCTTACAATGTTGGGACAGAGTTCACAAGGTGGTGGAAAACTTTCCCATTCTATCACAGGTTACAATTAATAATTCCTTCATATGACAAGTTGGATCACACAAGTGGACCGCACAACAAGTGAACCATATTAACCAAACACCAGCCAGAGTTGTTCACACAAGTGAATGACTGAGTTTCCAGGATTTTTGTTCACTGATTTGTGGCACACGTATCTTTGTAAATTAATTTAAATGCTGAAGTGTGAACAGGTAGGTACATGTGTTGAAATCTTCTTATATACATTTTCTGTGATGAAACAACATGAGTGTGGACAGATAAAGGAATACTGTACTGTGTTGTAAACCTCACTTGGTTTTCCTTCGTCTGTGTCATCATAGTTCAGTGACCCATGACTGAAAGTTTCAGATAAAGATGAAATTTCTAAAATGTGTTTTAATAGCTCTTTATTATCCTAATTATATTTCTTAACTAACTAAAACAAAAAATATACTGTAATATGATGGATATCTGCTACAGTATTTGAGAAATTATTTGTTATTGGCCCTAGTTTTCAAAACAACTGTAATGACTGGTATATAGAGTTTAGCTTTTGTGGTTGTTAATGTAAATGCTTCTCTTAGCTAAAATACCAGTTTGTTTTATGTGTTAATTTCTATGTTTCATTTATGTTTGAGAGTATGTAAGAGTAAATGAGTATGACTGTGTGTGTAAAAGTTATTCCCACGCATTTTCGTGAGAGAAGCGTCCCTGGACTCCATGTAGGAGAGACTGTTGAGACTCCACACACACGGATTGTGTGGTGTATGTGCTCATGAGGTACCCACCTCATTATGTGAGGTTATTGACCTCCATTTATATCCAAGTGACGGGAACTGTAATCGTAAATCTGGTGAGTGAGAGTTTTCCTTGTTAGTGTATAATCCCTTTTCCTGTGTTTAAATAAATGTAATGCTCACACTTTGGTTGTTTCTCAAATCCAATCCATGCAAAAATATTGTATCGTCCCACGTGGTCATTCCTGTGTTTGAAGTATTTATAATCGCATATGGGTTCTACAAACCCTGGGTTTAAAGTAATGTACAGAACTGATACTGTGAATAAGAAAGTAAGGACCGGTTTTGTGAGTTCGTACTCTAGGGTACGGCTTACAAGTTTCGTAACCTTGCACAAATCGAATGCGGGTGGACTGGTCTATTCCCTGTACACACAGCCTTATGTGCTTTTCATTCGAATTCGTCGTTACAGTTCAGTTTCTTGGCCTATATATCATGTATATGTATAGGTCAAGAAATTTTCTTGGCCTATAATAATTCCTTGCCTGCATAAGTCTCTTGTCATGCATAGACAAGAGACTTAATTTCAATACTCACAGTACATAGCCAAAGAAGCCTCTAAAACTGTTGGTATGCTATAAAAAATCAGACATTATATTCCCCACTCTGCTCTTCTCATGCTATACTACTTGAAAATCTAACCCTAGCTAACTTATAAGATCCTAATGCTAATATGGATGTGTGAGGTTCATCCACTGCACACTACCTTAAGACTGTAGTAATGATGATTTGTAAGTAATGATGATTTTTGCATCATCAACAAGCAAAAATCAGCTATTGGTACTATAACAATCTCAGTCTTCAGACAACACACAGCCCCACTGTTTAAATCCTTAAACTTGCTAAACATACACACATCTCTTATGCTGTTTACATATACAAAACCTTGTTCCTAAATGCAAATCCTAATCTGAAACTCTTCCTTGATAGATGTTATAGAACCCATAAGCACCACACCAGATGTCTCTTTGTTATTCGTAGTTAGATTAAACCTATGCAAACACTCCATGCAAATAAAAGGATCCAATATATGGAACTCGCTCTCTAATGTACGTATTAACAAAAATTTCACCCTATACTTCATTCAAAAATAAAACAATGAAGTACCTAATTCATCTTCATAGTGTCCCGTCTTGTGATGTTTTCTTACAGTATCTTGTGCTACCCATAAACTCAGAATACAGTACTGTATTACAATATAGAAATGCAACTTCATCAGTGTGATTTATTTTATCAATTTATGCTGAGGTTGTTATGTGAATTCAAATTTTGTTACCTATCATTACAGTTTTGGTTAACTTAGCGACTTGTCCAAAATGCTATGCTTGTTGGTGGCTTTGTGAGAATCTACCACAATCACCAATGCATGTATTTTCACAACCCATTGTACCATGTGTATAAAATAAAATAAAATATACCTGTATAGATAAATAAATCTGGGCTACCAGAGATTTATACCGTTGAATAACCACCTTTTCTTTGACGTCAAAGGTTCATTTGACTATTCCTAGGACTAAGTTGGGTTTTTTCCTGCAATTCTCATTTATTGTGTAACTCTCAATGACTGGTGGATTCTGATAGTGATATTCTCACCAATATGTCAAACTAAAAATAAACAGAGATACTAAATTTTTCAACAAGTTTCAAATACTGTATATGAATATCATTCTGGCTCCTTTGAAATATTAAAACCAGTCTTGACTTCAAAATGTAAATTTGATTTTGAACAAATTGCCTCAAATCACCTGCTTTATTTCCATCAATTTCACATCCAGTCTTTCCCCAAAACCTTTCCTCCCATCCCCTGGCTGCCAGTCACTGATAGTAATGTGTCGAGTGTTTGTGAACCAGCTGCTTCCACTTACTTGAGAATTTTAGTTGCATACGTCCAGGTAACAATGAAATAGTTATATTAAGATTGCATAAAAGTTATTGTGTGACATTCTGGTAAGTACTGTACTGTATAATAATTACTTTTATGTTCAAAAAACAAAAAAGCACAAAAATAGTGAAATTCTTTACAAAGAATTAAAGCGCAACCGTCACTAAGCAGGGGATCTGGTAAACTGAAGTGGGGTTGCCCGTGTCACCAGGAACCACGCGCTCTGTCGACCCATACGTGTATCAACAAAGTCGCAAATCAGGGCAAAGGTCGTAAGTCGAGTCAAACTTTCCGACGAAATTGGGGTCGCATCTTGAAAAATTCATAAGTATTCACAATTCTTACTTCAAATTCGGAGAATTTGAATAATTACGAATTCTTATCTTTGCAATTCGTAAGACGAGGTTCCACTGTAATTAATATTGTGTTAGTACTGTACCTGTATAATATAGAGGCTCAAAAAGTTTTTATTGTTTACTGGACACCTAAAAAGAATC